CTCACCCAAACTCACTCACTCACTCACTCACTCTACAAGACTTCATCATTGTTCTCCCACAATTTTACCATCATTGTTTGTTCCCGTGTGCACAGCATACAGCGTAAATAGTTATCCCTAAGTAGTGAAAGCAAATATGCCCTTATCTGATGGAACCTATACTTTGTCCGATATGATTTCCTGTGATAAACTCACATTTTACCACTTTCAGTCACAAAACATGCGTTTGATCTATATTACCATAGCTGTATACATAAATATATACAGCAACGATAATATCAGTCATTATTCGCACGCAGTCAAAACCAAAGTCACGCCATGTATCATTGTTGTTTATTTGGGATGACATAGGCCATTGATGTCTGCTATTGACAAAATGTATAAAGGATCAACACAATTACTTCTCTGCCTCTCGATGATTCTAACCCGATAAGTACATAGAAAGTTTCATGATCGAAAAGATGTACGAGGGGCGTTCAGTAAGTTTTGCAACTTAAATATAAGACCAAGTTGCAGAATATCTTTCGCACTTTTATTTTTCAATGTAACCTCCATCTCAACATACAACATACAAAGAACAAAAACGAAACATATTCTTGAAAGCTCAACATCGGTCACGGATTTATTTCAATGTATTTTATTCTGATGTCAATGATCCACGTGTAGTCGAATTTGCAGTTAATCGTCCGTTAGTTCACTCCAAGTGAATAAAAGTAGTGGAAAAGGTATGTGCTGAAAATATCACAGCCGTTATGGTAATGTTTACGGTTTAGAGCTCCGGGTTCTGAAAGGACGGAGGCGTGCCTTATATGTCTGTGATTAAATTTCAAGCGGCAGAAGCGCAGCTATTAGGACCTACAAAAGGACCAATGATGAGTAGAAAGCAGGCTGCTGTGCCTGCGGATAAACATGCAAAAGAATTGTCCTATGTATCATCATGTTTGATATGTAGTGTCAACTGATAGTAGGGTTCAAAATTACACCTTGCAATTGTCCTAATCATGCTTTACAATAAAATGTCCTCCATTTGCGACATTTTATTTTTGTAGTAAAACCTGCAATGGTTATTACTGAGGATAAGTTAAAAAAAAACATCCCAGGTTTTCTTCGAATTAAAACCTCGTTTGCGGTTGTCCGGTTTTTGGCGACAACTTCATCTTCATAGACAGCATCCCACTAGAGGTTTATAAGTAATGACATACCATATCATTCAAGTAACAGGTGTTATGTAATGGAGAAAACACGACTCAGAGGTTTTGGTAGAGAATGTAAAACCTCGGGAGGAGGGATTTCCCGACTCCCGAGGTTTAACATTCTCTACCAAAACCGAGGAGGAGTGTTTAATCCGGCTTAGAAACCGTTAAACGTTTAGAAATACTGTAAATTTAATTGTCTCACATTTAGGGCACTATAACGGGGATTTACTACCTCGCTATTGCCAGGATACACATATAGAAAGAACCCGAACCGTGCACGTGGGATGCATCCGGTAAGAACACGTGGTTGTCTTTCTCAGTTGAGTTCGAGATGTCGAGTGAGGAGGAAGGCGGAGACCTATTCCTGGAAGTAAGCGAGCAGCAGATTTGCGAACAAACTGGTAAGTTTAGTTCAATGTATAGAACCAATATTTTATGATTATCACTGTTTCGAATATTATCTGTGAATAAAATGAAACGCCCTTAACAAGCGTTTAGAAATGATTAATTTTTACTATAAAAATGTATTTTGATGTAGCCATATTTTCTAAAGTGGCCTAATGCTTTATAGATGTTTAGAAAATACGGTTGTATACTTTGTTGTAATTAACTATAACATTTCTTTAGGGCACCGGAGTAGTGCTGTCCGCATCTACAAACGCACCAGCGACGATCTAAAGTCCAAGGCTTCAGACATTATCGGAAGGAAGATTCCTAAAAAGACGGAGACAGTGTCTTGTGCGCCACCAACTTCAGTGACTGAGACAACTACTTCCGCAACTGAGACAGCTGCTTCTGTAGGTACTTCGGCAGGTACCTCTGTAGACTCATCGACTTAGGCAAGTCTGGAAGGTCTATCCAAAAAAGGGTCTCACTACTTTACATTTAACTTTCATTAAAGGATGTTACTGGCTGTTGTTTTCTGTTGTCTTTGTGCAGAAGTCCGGGTATGTGCCTTTAAGTAAGACCCTGTGATGAAAAATCAGAGTGTATCGGGAATGTATTTTTTTCAGTGGCGAGACCTGGTATGGAGGGTTTTTGTAAAAATGTAAAATCTCTTCCCAGGTTTTACCATTGGCAGAAAACACATCTTTTCATAATGGCGATACCCACATAATAGGTTTCTAAGGATTGGAGAAAACACGCTCACGAGGTTTTGGTAGACAGAGCATGCCCTGGGGAGAAGCCCCCTTGTTTTTTCCCTCTCCCCAGGGCATGCTCTGTCTACCAAAACCGAGGGAAAGTGTTTTTCCATACTTATAAACCGTCTAAATTGATTAAATGTTATAACGAGCATCTATAAATGAGGCGCTTCATTATAGCGCTTCCTTGAAGACATGATATCATAACTTGCACGTGGAATTCGCTGACTTGCCAGGCGGTCAAGAGCACTTGGATGTGTCAACAACAAAACACAACTAAAATACTTACTTTTAAATGAAAGTGAAATCTTCGGTCTCTAAATGTTTGTGTTGCAATATTCCACTTCTTTTAAACTTTTCAAAACGAAAATTCGCAAATTTAAAAGGTGTCTTTTCCTTTACAAGATTTACGACTTTAAACAATCCAACTGTTACATAGAGGTAGTTGTGACCTAACGGCTAGCAGTTACTTCACGTGTAAATTGTTCAGCATTGATAAGCACTTGTTTAAAAGCACGTGTTTTGAAACCTCGCTGTCCTTTCACCAGAGACTCTGAAGTGGAAAGATGAGCGACGACGACTTTCATTTTGTTACCCAGTCTTCATTCACTGTACACATGACATTCAATTTTAATTGAATTAAAATTTTGAATTGCTACGTGTAGTCATTTTTTCAGTTACTTGGTTAAATCTGGGATTTGAGGTTTTACATTCAAAGTAAAACCTCCAGAACGAAAATAAAACCTCATAATAGGTTTTACTTTGAAAGTAAAACCTCTTAATAGGTTTTACTTTGAAAGTAAAACCTCACAATAGGTTTTAATGCCTATAGAAAGAACTCTCTTACTTAATAGAGATCCCAATGAATAGGTTTATAAATTTGGAATAACACTTTCTCAGTAAAGTGCTGATTCTCGTTGGGGGGTTGTGTGTTATTGAATAAACAGTGTGTAAAGTTTTATCGTTGACGTATTTATTTACAAGAATTGACTTCAATATGTTTTCGCTTACGGAGGGATAAACTTCAAAACCGTTGTACGTACTGTTTTTCTTTGAACATTAAATATAGCGCCAAATTCTTCATCATTGCAACTGTCCCGTGCAAGGACAGAGTTTATCTTATTTAATTCCTTAAAAATACATCTTTATTTGAGTTAATTGATAACAAACATTTAAATCTTATTTAACTTATCTTGTGTATACAGGAATGAAACATTTCCGTTCTATTTCGAACTACAGAATGAAGCGTTATTAAAATCTTTAGCGTGATCCCTTGTTCGTGACATACCCATGAAGAGAGTTCACCATCCCTGACTGCATACCCACGTATAAATGTTTGTTTGTGTGTTTGTTTGCTGTTTAACTCCGCCATCGACAATATTTAAGTCTGGACCAGATAATCCAGTGGTTGTAAACATGAGCATCGACTGGGATACGATGACATACATCAACCAAGTCAGCGAACCTGACCACCCGATCTCGTTAGCGTGGGTCGTAAATCTCGCTGGAAATGCACCTACATTGCAACAATGCTAATATCAATATCTACGCTTGATTGCTTCAAGGAACAATTTACTAAATACTTACATCTAATCACTGATATCTTAACGAGCGAGTGAATTTTGTGTTTCGATGGCAGCCAAGGGTCACACATTCCAACCAAGTGGTCTTCGTCGGTTCGTAGATCTGTCACGGTGCACTGAGGCGTCTTCTACTACGACATCGGCACGGCGTAACGCGCGCAGAAGCTTACCACGTGTACAGATATGTTCGTGTTATGCCAACGACCTTAAGTCATTACGCCACCGAAGCGTAAATGATAGAATAAACATCCATACAAACTGCCTAAACATATCATATTTATTTATTTATTTCAATAAAATCAGTAAATGCACTATCTTTTAACGTGATTTCCTGGTCCATCGACCCCTTGATTGTCAGAATATTGTTGTGCGGCATCAGGCAATAAATACTTACTTTTTAATGCAAATTTTGTAAATGGCGGATGCTACCGGCAGTACATGTTTACACTTTCCGCGAACACCTGGTGACGTCACTGATTTTCAGTGGTCCATTCATATACCTTTCACAGCTATTTTACGTCAAATGGAATCGGCGGATGATCAAGTTCAAGACTTGTTATTCCATTGCTTAGACGTTATACATTCACAGCTGCAATTACTTTAGCACCGTAATATATCCATTCCATTCGTAGCCATATGCTTTTGGTAAAGTTATGGTCGAGTTGGTTATAAGCAGAAGTTTCATCGATTAGAATTAAAGTAAACTTATCTAGATAGAATGTTTTCTTTCTAGCTTGTTCTATTGTTTCCACTGTTGGCACAGGGCCTGTGTTCTGAGGTAATCTTCTCAGAATTATCTGGCACTGCATTAAACACTTCTCGAGTACCACCCCCAATTAGTTCAGTTTATGTCACATGGGATCCGAGTTTATAGATTATTTTGCAATGTTCGGCGATGCAATGAATACATCATTGCTAACACCAGACTCGGTGACATATTTGTCGACATCCTGCCTGATTTCTGAATACAACAATAAACGTTAATTCCGAGTGCTTCCGTCAGTATATTTATGCGTATGAACATGGTACTACTTGACGCGAGTATGGCTATTACACAAATGGAAGCAACATGGTTTGGTATGTTACACTTTATTGTTAAACACGAGTGTTATGTTTGGGACATGATTAGATGACTCTGTTCACATTCCTCATACATAATAACAGTTGGAATGAGTGAGTGAGTGAGTACGGTTTTACGCCGCTTTTAGCAATATTCCAGCAATATCACGGGGAACACAGGAAATGGGTTTCACACATTGTACCCATGAGGGGAATCGAACCCGGGTCTTCGGCTTGACGAGCGAACGCTTTAACCACTTTGCTACCCCATCGCCCAGTTGGAATTGAACTCGTTTCTTTTTTTTTGTAAATTAAAAAATCAACAAGTACATATAAAACAGTATATATGGTCTTTGATGAGGATATGGAAACATTCTCATATCACCGTCTCTGTTTACTGATTGGAGTAAACACAAACTCGACATCACAGATGATGATCACATATCTTTATCACAGGTAGACGTCCAGTTGTATCATCCTTATGCCGGGGTGATACCAAATCCTCCTTCCGTAATGCACTGGAAGCATTAAATACAAATAGTAAATATATAGCGTAAATAAACACATACCAAACTTGACATTCAAATCAAACAAGATCATGTATATACACCGAGCACGGTACTAGCTTTGAGAATACTACTGTGAAAATATTTGAAGTAACGCTAGGATCTGATGCGGCTTTGATCAATACTTGGTATTTCGTCCCCTGGAAACCTGTGATTATTGGTTCGAATCCCGGTTCGATCCGATAATGTTTCAAGGTTTGTCAGCACCATACCCGTTCTCATGGGCAAAAAATTAGTAAACGTTTGAGACTTGAATCACGTCGGGCTTTCCTCCCACATCAAGCGTAAACGCCGAGATATAACTGGAACTGTGTTCAAAATGGCGCTAAATCCAACTCACTCACTCACTCACTCAAACTCTCAGTATTTCCATAATATACGCACATGTACACTATGGTGTAATCAGATCCTGAACATAAACTTTTGTGGTTGAATATTTGTATGTTATTTATGTCGTTAATGATATGACAATACTTTATTGAATGAGTAGTTTGGCGTCCAAGTTATCATTGCTTACCAGAATGAACCACACGATGACCCAGGGGAAGAAGAGAATAGTTATGATGAGATGTAGGAAATGATTCACACGTGGTCTGAAATACGAGCAAAAATGTCATAATTAGATGAGCCTGTCATTCAATGTCAGCGTTATGTGCACCACAAATGGTATCTATTGTAGCCTCCGTGGTCTAGTGGTAGAGCGTCCGCCCGGAGAGCGGAAGGTCCGGGGTTCGATCCCCGGCCTCGTCATACCAAAAGACGTTAAAAGATGGTACTTGTTGTTACCCTGTCTGGCGCTCGGCATGAAGGGGATAAAACAAGGACTAGTCAGTATACTGTGTCTGAGCGGGATATTCATATTAAACTGCGGCATGGTATTTCAGTGTGCCAGCACTATAAAACGGCATCAGTCCGGACTAGTACAATCAGACACACACATACACACACACGCGCGCGCGCGCGCACGCACGTCGCTATATAATTGCAATAATCTTGGACGCTACGTTAAACCCCATTTCACCTCACCTATCTATTGTATAATTATAATCTGGAAAAAACAACATGTAGACCATATTGCACACCTTCTTACCTTTCATGTTTAATGTATTCATCTTCTGTTTAAATGTAACGCCCTCGAGAATGAACGATCAAATTACTTTGATAAATATTATTATGTATGGCCAACTTTATGTAAATATAAACGACGTTTATGTTCACAGAAATTAAATGTGTTGAAAAAATGTCAAAATTGATGCAATTGATATTGAATACTGTAAAGACGAAATAATTCCACAGATTTACTTTTATACCATGTCGTCATAAAAAACAGTCAAGTACTCCTTTCAGCCAGACCCCATCCCCAGCTCGTATTGTGATTATATATGCTTACGCGAAGCGATTATAAGCAGCCGGCCCTTATAAGAGGTTCGACGCTTTATGGAAAACACGTCCTTGGGATATTTTAAGAATTTTTTGGAAGTCCTAAAAGAACATTTTGCCAAACTGCTTGATTACTTGCTGAATGGGGAAGGTTGCGGTTCTGTCATACAACTGTTGATAACAGTTTCTTCTCAAACAATTTTTCTTTGACGAATATCTGATATATCGACGACATGCCTCTGCATTCAATCTTCAGGCATACTTGATTAATATGTAAGTAGTTATATTTAGTAGATTTGATCATCTGACCATGAGCCAAATTATTTGACGAGCTGGAATGGAAGTTTCATATGTACTGCTTTTTATCACTTGATAACGTTGATATATGGCAATATTCCAGCTGTATCAATGCAGTCTGTAAACACCCGAGTGTCGACCTGGCAACCTGTGGCAGCAGCATTAACAACGATCCAAGGCGTCGGAACGCAGCTTGCACCCGGCCAGGTCATACATTGTAACCACCTGATCGTGTTCAGCGTGGGATACTGGTGGCTTATCACGTCCCGGAATCCCCACAGTGCGATCATGTGTAAATGGGTACAACTCCTGGCATATGGCGCCGTGAAGGGCCGGGTGACCTTTGCCAAAATGGTACAAGTTTATTAATGCAGGATTATCCGACTTGACCTTACAGAGTTCTCGTCTTGTTGTCTTGATAACAAACACGCCCCTAATTGGTCGTCAATCATAAAAGATTATTTCATGTTCTAATATTGGTGTATATATGTAGATATATTTCTCTTGTCTTGAGTGACCCACCTCTCTACGACGACCGTCTGGGCAGGGACGGGAGCAGGGGCACTATTGTTGACCACGACAACCGACTGTTGTTGTTGCTGCTGTTGCTGGGGCATCATCTGTGGTTAAAGACAAAGGATTCACTATCAGATTTCCCTTATTTATCCATGGATGAAACGTCATGGTACAAATCATGAGTGAGTGAGTGAGTTGTGTTTAACGCCGCTTTTAACAGTATTCCAGTTATATCACGGCGTGCCAGCTTATTGTGGAAGGAAAGCCTGAAGTGATGCAGGTCTCAGACGTTTACTACTTCGGTGAAACCCACAAGCACGGGTATAGTGCTGACTAACCTAGAAAAATAATCGGGGCGAACCGGGATTCGAACCCACAATCATAGGTTTCTGGCAACTCTGCACAGTGAATCGCGGCGCCTTAGGCGACTGGGCCACCCGTGCCCCCTACAAATCATTAAAAAAGCGATAAAGTACCTTAAGTACGTGTACTTCCATCACGGTACATTGACATGGTGGATAGCGACAATGACGTCTTATGGTATGGTGTGCATTTAAACGGTATGAAATACAATAGTAGATAGTCGACCACCCTTACAAATAAACATAATCGAGATATCGGTACGTTCAAAGTTACCGACCATTCCAGGTCATGAGGTGCAAATTTAGGCAATGAGTCGCTGGCCATACTTCCGGTCGAATGACCTTGAAGATGTGACTGTGTCAAATAAGATCTTAACAAACTGTTTGCTAAGCTGATATTCTAGTTTCCTATGGTAACGATGCCACTCTAAGGATATGTGTATAACGTAAAATGATGATAAACAAAAATTCGCTTACGCGCTTCACATCACAAAGATATTTGCTATTTTCCATGAAATAAATCAGTAGTGAACTCAAGACCGTTGATGGCTGTTCTCGGGCTTTTCAAAATAAAATACATAATTTTTTACAACAACTTGTCTCAAGTGTGAATAATTGCGAGAGTATTGGTGGTATTTGTCATACCTATTTTACTTTACGTATTTAGATACCCCCTTTGTGTACTTCCCTGATTCAAAATAATGATATTAATAATAACCACTCACGTGCATGGGCTGTTGATACATCGGTTGTTGCACATACCCCGGGGGATACTGCTGCTGCTGCTGTGGCTGCAAGAAATGTACAAGTAGGTTTTCATATAACCACAAAGACAGAACATCAGCTATAGTTAACTGATGATCTGTGAACACAAATCATGAAATCAATATATGACTTAAACAGCACTTCGGGCTTTCCTACCACATAAAGCTGACACGCCGTGATATAACTGGAATACGGTTCAAGCAGCGTTGAACTCACTCACTCGGGATGTCTTATTGATTAATGCTGGCAGGATATATATCTCGCATGTGTTTGTGACGAGTATTGGGATACAGATTATTTTCAAAACGATGTATATAAGTTTGAGTTTCCGGTACTAGGCTTCATTTACTTGTGTGGAAGGTGATACGAACAATGGAAATCATATATCAATACAACAGACTGATACAATTCAATAGTTCGTTTAATGTTTATTTTACAGACTAGATCAGTTCAATGACAGGTAAGATCAACATCAGCAAGTTTAACTAAGTTCAATCGTCACCGCTGATTGTGTTGATTCGCGGCTGTTTGAGTACAGCCATTGTCAGTGACACAAATTGACACTGAGATTTCTCATTTCGCTCTACACGTCACTAATTCGCGGTGTTTGGGTTTGTAGGGGATCAGATATCAGTTCGCTGTATACTTTAAGTCGCTGCAAAGAGTTTGTTATGGATGCCCATTTAGGAGATAAATCGGAGATTCTGTAACAGTTCGTTATATCCGTTTTCTCCCTCTGTCTACGTTCGTTCTGTCCGCGTTCTACTGTACATGTGAACACGATTCTATCTTTTGATATGTGCTTATGGTGGAACAGGCATACAAAAACATTCCAAGTTTAAGAAATGAGTGAGTGAGTGAGTGAGTACGGTTTTACGCCGATTTTAGCAATATTCCAGCAATATCACGGCGGGGGACACCAGAAATTGGCTTCACACATTGTACCCATGTCGGGAATCGAACCCGGGTCTATGGCGTGACGAGCTAACGCTTTAACCACTAGGCTACCCGACCGCCCTTTAAGAAATGAACACAAGGCAATGTGTAAATATCCATATTGTGGGGCGATCGGGTAGCCTAGTGGTTAAAGTTTCGCCCGTCACGCCGAAGACCCGGGTTCGATTCTCAACACAGGTACAATGTGTGAAGCCCATTTCTGCTGTCCCCCGCCGTGATATTGCTGAAATATTGCTAAAAGCGGCGTAAAACCATACTCACTCACTATATAGTGGAGGAATCACTTACCGGCATGTACGGGGGCGGTTGCTGCTGCATTGTCTCTATAAATAGACAGTTGGACTAGTGCTTTCAGTATTTCTGAAAAGGACAACAATTATGTCTTACTTAAACATTACATCATCTCTAAAACTTAAATTGCAACTTACAAGCGAGTACTGAGTTGTGTTTACATTATTCACATACATACTTTAAAAAAAATATTGGTTTCGAATGAACTTTATAGGTAGTTCGCCAGTTCGCAATTTCACAACAATCGCACTGGAAACTAAACAAACGTATCAAGTCTTTGAATGGCACTTAGAAGTGATACACATATGGAAAAGAATTAATGGATGTCTTTGTTATGAGGAACACAACGTTTCAGAGTATATACGTATTCCTTCGGGTAATTCACCTGATGAAGGAGTAAGCATATACAGTAAACTACGGTTATAACGAACACGCTTATAACGAACTGACGGATATAACGAACTTCTTTTTTGGTCCCGACTATTTGCTGTAGTTATGCTGTATATATGCTTATAACGATCTACGGTTAAAACGAACTAAAATTAGTAGTCCCTTTGAGTTCGTTATAACCGTACTTTACTGTACTCCGAAACGTTGTGTTCATAAATTCCCTTCCTTATATGCATCACTTCTAAATGCCTTTCAAAGACTTATCACACTCAATGGGTATGCAGAAGCATCTACACGGGTGCCATGTAGAACCACTGAAAAAAACTAAATTACTATCCCCGTGCGATCTCCTTAAAATCAGATCTTAGTTCTCGCTACCGTTAATTCTCTTTTTTGTGTAATTAAATAATAAAAAATGACACTTACGTTCTTCGTTAGTTATATCTCAATTTAAGAAATGGAATTCGTCAGCACTGATCCCAGAGCGTCTGAGTATTCTATGCCGAGGTCAGGACAGGTCTGCACTTTATCAGGACACGGTTGCCAAAACAAGCCCCCAAAACAACCATCCGAGGTAACGGTGAATGTGGACCAACAATTGAGAATTACCCCATCCCTAATACCGCTGGTTAACCACGCGGTAAGCGTTAAACCGATTATGTAATATTTGGTACATCGTAAATAGTGTGTAGGTCCCAATGCTTCAGTGGTGTAATTAGCGTCAATACAAGTTCGGACAAAGGGTTTTCATTGTTGCCTTGATACCTTGTGCCTTACGATCTATACAATGTACAGCCGAACTGTTTCAGCATATACTCAATGTCCATTGACTAAAATGTTTGTTTGTTGCTTAATGCCACACTCAGCAATGTTCCAGCTATATGACGGCGGTCTGTAGATAAGCGAGTCTGGACCAGACAATCCAGTGACTGACATCATGAGTATCAATCCACGAAGTTATGATACCATGACATGCATCAGCCATGTCTGACCACCTGATCCCGTTAGTCGCCGCTTACGACAAGCATGGGTTGTTGAAGGCCAATTGTAACCCGGATGTTCATGGGTCTGGTAAACATGTATGTTTTGTAAGTGGATTATGTGAAAGACTCGCTACAATACTCTGATTTAGTATTGCCCTAATTTAACGCTATATAGTTGCTGTTTTGAGCACATTTTATAACACTATTATCTCTTGGGTGTCCACGACGCCATACAAACATGAAAATCACAAAGGAATATTGATTATTTATTTCTGAAAATTCGTTTGGAATTTCAGTGCGCCATCGTTGTGTTTTGGTATATATTATATGAAATAGAACCTGATTATAAATGGCCAACATTATCGATTCTGGCACTGAAAATGATGTATTATCATCTATGTATAAACAAAGAGACTTAACGAACACGGAATGTTTTCAAAGATACCATAGTGTTATTTTAAGTAGCTCAGTAACTTTGTTGCGTTTGTGGAATACCCGTCAAACTGTAACAAAAAGCAAGGCATTTATTTTGGAATGATGTAATGACACAACAACGCTGGTGTTTTATTAGTATGTATAGAGTCTGTATTCTGGGGAAAAATGTACCTGCCATATCTCATGAAAACTCAAAGGGAGACAACTCTTGCCGTCCTACATAAAAGTGGATATTGCTGGCCCGCTTCACATCAGGGGGTATATGTTTTCTATGTGAGAGAAGTGGATGTTATCAATGCAAACGTTTCTGTGTTCACAATCAGGCAATGGTTTTAACAAAGGAAGTGTTTATTTTTTTATTTTTTTTAAAAACAACATCTTGGGGTCACTTCAACTTTCAATGAATAATAATTCCAATTATACTTGTGAAATAAATATTTCAAATTTTCCCCGTTACTTCGATTATTTTCTTTTGTAATTTCGATTATATCTAAAAATTCGGAATTTCGAGAAAATTTCGTTGTGTTTTAGTATATATTATATGAAATAGAGCCTGATCATAAATGTCCAATATTATCGATTCTGGCACTGAAAATTTCAAATTTTTCCCGTTACTTCGATTATTTTCTTTTGTAATTTCGATTATATCTAAAAATTCGGAATTTCGAGAAAATTTCGAAGTAACGAGAAACACTTGAAATTTCGATTCTTTAAAATGAAATTAGAATAATGAGATATAATTAAAGTAACGAGAGAGAAAAAAGAAATGTCGAGAAAATAATCAAAGCAACGAGACAAAATTCGAAATTTCGATTTAAAAAAACCCATATTGATTTATTTGTAAAAACGAAACAACAATCGAAATAATTGAAGTAACGTGACAAAAATCGAAATTTCGAGAAAAATAGATATAATGATACTATCACCCATCAGACTATGGAGCGTTTATGATTGGGTTTTTCAGGTTCGAACCCCGAGGGTAATTGAAAAACACGAACGTAGTGTGTAAAGATGGAGTAAACGGTGTCTACTCTGCGACATAAAAGTAGAAAGTTCTATTTTCGCTTGGTGGGTTAAATGAAGAAGTAAAAAACGAATTCTGCGGGAATGTTTTATGGTTTATAAACTGTAGTGATACTTATTGCTACTTCCGTATTGCTGTCATCAATGATCAGTCAGTTATGCCCATCGCTTGAGACCTCGGTCCTGGGCCCCGTTCTTCAAAGCGATCTTAGCACTACGATGATCGTAAGCCTATGTTAAAGTATGGGACTTACGATCACCTTAGTGCTAAGATCGCTTTGAGGAACGGGGCCCTGGGCTGCCCTCTCTAGTTGTTTCCAGGTGTGTCCCATCTTCTTGCTGTCTGCCTCGAGGTCCCGTCGCCAGGTGTTTCTTGGACGTCCTCTTTTTCGTTTTCCCTGGGGGTTCCATGACAGCGCCTGTCTGGTGATGTTACTGACTGGCTTCCTCAGGTTGTGCCCAATCCATCCCCATCTTCTGCGCCGGATCTCATCTTCGGTTGGCAGTTGGTTGGTACGCTGCCACAGCGAAGTCATCAATGATACGGTCATGTAAACTTCTAATTGTACGAATAATTGGTTAGAGTTATCATCACTATCACTGAAATGATTCGTGTGTGGCAGCTTTTCAGCTTTAACGCCGTTAGTGAAAGATGACATGTACTCACCCAGTCACAATATAAGCTCTCTTGCCCCACCTCTACAACATGCCAATCTATTGGTCATGGGGTTCTTATAAAATTATTTGTTTATTCTTTTCGAAATTTCGAGTTTTTATTGTGACATGATTAAATTTTGCATTGTTTTCTCGTTTTTCAATTATAATTAAAAATTAAATTCCCGTTACACCGGTTATTTTTTGTGTGGTAATTTTGATTCCATTTAAAAATTCTCAATTTCGAGAAAATAATCGAAGTAACGAGAAACACTTGAAATGTTAGGATTTCGCCGTGAGGGATTTCGTCATTTAGTTAGTGAGTCACTGAGACCTTCCTTCCGTTATAACAATTGTTGATATCATCATCACTCAATTATCTAGGTTTGTCAGCACCATACCCGTGCTTGTGGGTTTCACCGAAGTGGTAAACGTCTGAGACCTGCATCCCTTCGGGCTTTCCTCCCACATGAAGCTGACACGCCGTGATATAACTAGAATACTGTTAAAATCGGAGTTAAACCCAACTCACTCACTCATCACTCAATGTAAACTTCGAGCTTTTCCCGACCTCGACGGTGTACATTTTCAACCACAACCGAGAAGTTGTGTTTCATCATCAACATCAAACTTTTTTGATACAGGCGCTAGTTATTGAGCCGAAATGTCGTACTAAAAGGGAAATAATATTTGAAACAGGATTCCAACCAACTGCCGGTGACAATGAATTCATGCAGGTTTTACGCCGACACGTGATAACCTTCATCTAATATTGTATATTTAAATATTACCATGGTGGTAAATGTTTAGCCCAGTGGTTAAACGTACTGTGTGTGAAGCCCATTTCTGGATTCCTCCGCCGTGATATTGCTGGAACATTGCTAAAAGCGGCGTAAAACCACACTCACTCACTTGTCGAAACAGCCGACGAATGTGGACGAAGATGGTTGCAACGTATAATCTGATGGATTGTATGTCATCGTAGATACACTCTCCCCACCCCCACCCCCACCCCCACCCCCCAGCATTGGGTTTAAAAAAAGTGACAAACATCTAAGACCTGCATTATCATAAGTTGTTTCCCTCCACAAGAACATGACACTGTTCAAAGTAGTATAAGACCCAAATGACTCAATCAAACGTCTTTCACGAAAAGTGAGTGAAGCGGACGTGCAATCTACATCCGGGGTTAGATCCCCGCCAGCGTCAATCCAAAACAGTTACCTGGTTCAGCAGGTTTGTGAAAATTAACTCAAATGTAGCAACGCCGTCGACTAATTTTCTTTTCTAATTTTCTATTTTGGAATTCAGAAATAGAGACTGATCCCCTTCTTGAATGGATTTTAAACAGACTTCAAAACGAACGAGTTATTATTACAGTTTTAATAACAAATAATGTACCTTGTAAAAAAATAACAAATTAAATGGTTCTTTATTTGTTTAAAAGTTATTGAAATTCTTTCCAAACTAGACATTCGGGTACCTATATTTCAGGAATATAAATATACATACCAGCATGGGATTTGTCAACAATGAACATAAAGCACACGTTTGATCTGCTTTTTGCGAATAAAATCGGATCACCATTGAAAAATAAATAATCATGAAGGAAATCCTGCAACGTCTTGTAGCGCCTGTGCAATCCACGTCCCCATCTAACTGTCTGCAATGCACTGAAAATATTATTGTTTTATTGTTATGATAACTATTGCTATTAATGTTAATGAAACGTCAACTTCTTATGATTATTATCATCATTATTATTACGACTACTACTACTACTACTATTACTACTACTACTTTGTTGTTTAACGCCTCACTCAGCAATATTACAGCCATATGACGGCACTACTACTACTAATACTACTACTACTACCGCCGCACTAAGTAATATTCCAGCTATATGACGGCACTACTACTACTACTACTACTACTACTACTACTACTACGACTACTACTACAAAGAACAACACTAAGAATACTACTGAGAAAAGCATGTTTTAAATAGTTTACTAACTTTGTGGTTTTGAAAATGCGCTCATATTTTATAACATGAATATGAATTTCCTGATAAGTGTAAATCTGGAGGAAGTCTCGTGAATTTATATAAATGGAAAACTGTTTCAGCATGACATTTGATGGGTGACTTTAGTGATGTCAAAACACAACAGACAATGCAATTTCAACCCTCTACACCGTGTGCCGTACACTGACTTGGTTGATGCATGTCATCGTATCCCAATTGCTTGGATCGATGCTCATGATGTCAACCACTGGATTTTCTGGTCCAGACTCGAGTATTTACAGCCCTCCGTCACATAGCTGGAATGTTGCTGAGTGTGGCGTTAAACAACAAACAAACAAACCGTTTCGCGACCACGTTTGGTATTAATGCATGGACATCACTCACTATTCCCCATTGCTTACCAGGATAATCCACACAATGACCCACGGGAAAAAGAAAAACGTGATGATGCAGTGCAGGACATGATTCACATGGCTTCTGAAAAGGGATCATCATCATCATCATCATTTCCATCATCATCATCATCATCATCATCATCATCATCATCATCATCATCATTACCACCATCATCATCATTACCATCATCATCATCATCATCATCATCATCGTCATCATCATTTCCATCATCATCATCATCATTACCATCATCATCATCATCATCATCATCATCATCGTCATCGTCAACGTCGTTATCGTCATCTCATAAGACCATATTTCTTATCATCAATATTTGTGTGAAATTACCTTAACTAGATGCACCTGCTTCCGTCGAACCTACATGTATTTCGAGTAACGCTAGTTCGACTCAACCAGAGTATTGATATCAGACGAAAGAACTGATACCGGCACGACAACGTAAAGGGGTAACGGGAGGCCCAGTCGTCTAAGGTGCTGCGGTTCGCTGTGCAGAGTTGCGTTCCTTGGACACACCAGGCACCTATGATCGTGGGTTGGAATCCCTGTTCGCCCCTATTGTTTCTACGTTTGTAAAGCACCATACCTGTGCTCGTGGTTTTAACCGAAGTGGTCAACGTCTGAGAACTCCATGACTTCGGGTTCTCCTCCCACTTTGAGCTGAAACGCCGTGATATAACTAGAATACTATAACAAGCGGCGTTAAACCAAGTCACCCACTCACAGCGTAAAGTCGATTTATGCAATATAGCGAGTAGGCGGCGGTAACGAGGATTCGCTGTACAAACTTTTTGTAGAAAAGATTGAGATAGTGCCAAGGCATAAAGTGTTTCACTTACTCACTCACTCACTCATTCAAACCTAGATACCGACCCAATAACTCACTGGTCATGTGTGTTTCCTACCTCTCTCTGATGACGGTCACTCACTCACTCACTCACTCACTGCTGTGTATCCTACTTCTCTCTGATGACGGTCACTCACTCACTCACTGCTGTGTATCCTACCTCTCTCTGATGACGGTCACTCACTCACTGCTGTGTATCCTACTTCTCTCTGATGACGGTCACTCACTCACTCACTGTTGTGTATCCTACTTCTCTCTGATGACGGTCACTCACTCACTCACTCACTCACTCACTGCTGTGTATCCTACTTCTCTCTGATGACGGTCACTCACTCACTCACTCACTCACTGCTGTGTATCCTACTTCTCTCTGATGACGGTCACTCACTCACTCACTCACTCACTCACTGCTGTGTATCCTACCTCTCTCTGATGACGGTCACTCACTCACTCACTCACTGCTGTGTATCCTACTTCTCTCTGATGACGGTCACTCACTCACTGCTGTGTATCCTACCTCTCTCTGATGACGGTCACGTCACTCACTCACTCACTCACTGCTGTGTATCCTACCTCTCTCTGATGACGGTCACTCACTCACTCACTCACTCACTCACTCACTGCTGTGTATCCTACCTCTCTCTGATGATGGTCGTGGTAGGGGCGGGGGCCCCAGCGTTGACGACAAACACTGACGTCTGTTGTTGTTGTTGCAGCTGCTGCATCTGCAACCATCACATGTAACACGTTGACAGTTGAAGTGAGAAAATCGTCATACATGGAAGAGAAACTTGTTAGTCGTCTCAGTCGAAAACATAATTTCAATGATGTCACTTCCACTTTACTTAATCTTCGCATGCGCGGAAATGGTTACACTCCTTTTCAAACTCCACTGGTCATTTGTTAGTTCCAATGGTTCTAAAACCAAAGTAGCAAAGGCAATGTGGTTTGCTTTTCTCAAAATGAAAACAAATCGTTCATCGTTGTTTTAAAATTAGTTCATATGTCGTTATTGTCTGTGTCGGTTTTCATAAACCAAACGTTTTTTCACAAAAAACAAAAACTTTGTATTTCTTTTTTCAAATGACACTGGGTGTCGTTTTAGACGACGAAGTTCGCTGTGCGTCTCCTAGACGTACCAGAAAAAAACTAAGATCGCGTGTTCAAATCGCAGCATCACACACATGCAACAAATGGACTATTATTATTATTATTATTAAAAATGTTTTATACCCTCAATGCTCAGAGGCTCTGCCGGGTAGCCTAGTGGTTAAAGTGTTCGCTCGTCACGCCGAAAACCCGGGTTCGATTCCCGACATAGGTTCAATATGTGAAGCCCATTTCTGGTGTCCCCGGCCCGCTGTGCTATTGCTGAAATATTGCTAAAAGCGGCGTAAAACCATACTCACTCACTCACTCAATTCTCAGCGCCAGGAAGGGAAACAAGAAGTGCAATCTTTTAACCATTTTCAATATCGCGCGGCCAGGGGAGCGATCAACAGCTCCCTCGATTGTTGATTATATAATTATTATACTCGCCGAAGGTCGATCTCACATGCTACATCGGTTATGATCATTAATGTTCCAAGGTGCACACCTTCCGTATATCCACTATCCGGGTTAAGACAGTGTGCACGCCTGATTTTACGTTTATACTGGTACCTTCATGAACGCAAAGCATAATAAATTTCAATTTTCAAATATACTACTAAAAAGAAGTTAAGAACACCTTATTCTTTCATATCAGGGGCGGTCGGGTAGCCTGGTGGTTAAAGCGTTCGCTCGTCACGCCGAAGACCCGGGTTCGATTCCCGACATGGGTACAATGTGTGAAGCCCATTTCTGGTGTCCCCCGCCGTGATATTGCTGGAATATTGCTAAAAGCGGCGTAAAACCATACTCACTCACCCACTCTTTCATATCAATCCTGCCTTGAAATATTTACAATATTACTATGAAAAAATTCTTTTGAGAAGTATATAAACTAGTGTCCAAAAGAAACAATACCAACTTATTTTCAAAATTGTTTTTTACTAAGTGAATTGTCAAGTATGAAAACATGCCAATTCGTATTGCACATCCCAAACACAGCATAGTCGATAAAAAATACCGGGAACACGTGATCACTTCCGGGAAAAAACGTAAATTTCGTGAAAGTGACATTTCCCTCTCTAGCATGTTCTGCACGTGCAGAAAAAACTGTAGAAAACGGCTGATCAGACACGTTGATATCACAGCAACAAAAAGAACACAAGATATGCCACGTTTGACAGCCATCGAGAGAGAGAGAGCCGTTGGAATGGTCCAACAAGGAGCGTCACACGTCTACGTCGCCAGAAGGTTGGGCCGCGCACGCATCACTATCACCAGGTTGATGCAGCGGTTACGTCAGACAGGTCAGACGTCAGACAGGCCCAGGAGTGGAAGACCACGAGTAACCACGCCCCGTGAAGATCGTTACATCCGGGTATTACACCTGAGGAACCGCACCGTAACAGCGACGTCCACGGCGGCTACAGCACTGGGACACAGGATCAGTCGACAGACCGTCTACAGGAGACTACGGCAGTATGGTATCCGGCCACGTCATCCCTACCGCGGACCGCTCCTGACGCCTCGACACCGGAACAACAGACTGATCTGGGCCAGGCGAGTTCGACGTTGGCAACGGCGGGACTGGGCACGTGTTATGTTCTCTGATGAGAGCAGATTCCTCATCTTCAGAAACGATGGACGGCAGCTTGTATACCGACGATTTGGTGAACGTTTGGCGCCTAACTGTATCCAACAGGTCCGGCCGTTTGGAGGTGGAGGGTTAATGGTTTGGGGTGGCATATGTGGTGACGTCAAAACGATGCTTGTCGTAATTCGTGGAAACCTGAATGCACAGCGTTATCTTGATGACATCCTACGGCCTGTTGTGGTGCCCTTTATTCAGCAACAGCCTCGTGGACTCCTTTTCCAACATGACAATGCAAGGCCACACACAGCAAGATTAACACAGAACTTCCTTGCCAACGCCAACGTACAGGTTTTGCCATGGCCCGCATGTTCACCGGACATGAATCCCATCGAGCACTTATGGGACCACCTCGATCGGCAAATCCGACGTCGCCGTGTGCCTCCAGTCAACGTCCAGGACTTGGAACGATGTCTCCTCGAGGAATGGCAACGCATCACTCCCAACGTCATCAGACGTTTGACGTCATCAGTCCGTAGGCGTGTTCTGGCATGTATTGATGCTCACGGTGGACATACCAGCTACTGACTTGACTTTGAGACGTGTTGTGTGACATTTCCCGTTGTTTCTGTGATCAGTGCTCTAACGAAATGTTCATTTTTCGACCCCACCCATCTTTAAAGGCTTGTCATATTGGTTGTACAGTTTTTATTGAAATGAAATTTTTGTACAGATGTTGTGAAAGGATTTCTCAAAAGCATAACACCAATCCTAAACTTCTGCATTGTTTAGTTTTTCTTTTATGTCGTTGCAAACAGGTGGTATCGTTTCTTTTGGACACTAGTTTATATACTGGTTTACGGTTATAATTGATGACGTCATGCAACTCACCGGTGGTGCATACATCGGATGGGGCTGTACATAACCCGGCGGGTAGTGCTGTGGTAGTGGCGGGTAGGGCTGTGGGGGCGGCATCTGCAAGTATCATCATATTGGGAATATTCCAGATAATGATTTGACTTTGTTAGTCTTTCGCACATAACGTCAAAGCTGTTTCAGTGACATGCCGAAATCAACATACGAGTGTAGTGAATACAGACAAATCTAATTCTGATATATGAAGATGCGTTGTTTTGGAGTAGTAAATTAAAAACGCACTGTGTTGAAAAGTCACAGTAACAAAACGCAATTTACATTGAAATTCATAAAATTCACCGTCCACAAACAACGTTAACAAGTCCTAAAAGAATATATGATGATAATTAGAAAATAGTTAAATAATATTTTAACATAAAATAACCAAAATGAATCAAAATAGAACCAAATAATTTCAGATTGTGAAGTTCCTCTATTCAGACATTTTGAACCCCGTGGAGATTCGGCATTGTTCAGCATTGTCGTAGGCTCCCTCGATGGTTGATTATATAATTATTATACTCGCCGAAGGTCGATCTCACATGCTACATCGGTTATGATCATTAATGTTCCAAGGTGCACACCTTCCGTATATCCACTATCCGGGTTAAGACAGTGTGCACGCCTGATTTTACGTTTATACTGGTACCTTCATGAACGCAAAGCATAATAAATTTCAATTTTCAAATATACTACTAAAAAGAAGTTAAGAACACCTTATTCTTTCATATCAGGGGCGGTCGGGTAGCCTGGTGGTTAAAGCGTTCGCTCGTCACGCCGAAGACCCGGGTTCGATTCCCGACATGGGTACAATGTGTGAAGCCAAATTCTGGTGTCCCCCGCCGTGATATTGCTGGAATATTGCTAAAAGCGGCGTAAAACCATACTCACTCACTCACTCTTTCATATCAATCCTGCCTTGAAATATTTACTATATTACTATGAAAAAATTGGAAGTTCCTCTATTCAGACATTTTGAACCCCGTGGAGATTCGGCATTGTTCAGCATTGTCGTAGGTGTTCAGGATCGCTGACGCATGTTATCGTATCCCAGTTGTGTACATCGATGCTCATGTTAATCACTGGATTGTCTGGTCAAGACTGGATTATTTACAGACCGACGTCATATAGCTGGAATATTGCGGGGTTAAACATAAATATACAGTCAATTAAGCAAATAAACAATCATATTTTTTTTCAAAGAGCGGCTACTTACCGGCTGAGGGTTATAGGCATATGGGGGCGGTTGTTGTTGCATTGTGCCTGAAACATAGACAGGATAATTAATTGTTAATTCATTTCTACAAGTTCATTTCGTTATGTAGTGAGTGAATCAACAGATGTTGTTAACAATCAACACAGCCAAGCCATAGCACGACGGCTTGTAAGTACTCGCGTTTGGGCCATGCAGACCAGTTATTGAAAGCATGGGCCACTGTATACGCCGTCAGGGCACAATACACGCACAGCGCCGTCAGGACACAATACACGCACAGCGCCGTCAGAGCACAATACAAGTACAGCGCCGTCAGGGCACAATACAAGTACAGCGCCGTCAGGGCACAATACAAGTACAGCGCCGTCGGGGCACAATACACGCACAACGCCGTCAGGGCACAATACACGCACAGCGCCGTCGGGGAACAATACACGCACAGCGCCCTCGGGGCACAATACACGTACAGCGCTATCAGGGCACAATACACGCACAGCGCCGTCAGGGCACAATACACGTACAGCGCCCTCAGGGCACAATACACGTACAGCCAGGTTGCACATCGCCTTCACCAGATCGACAGGAGTCGAGGCGTCAGTACGACAAAACATGACTTGATGTAGCCATGTCTGTGCTAATCGACATGTTCTCATATAGACAAGCATTTTTTAATCCAAATTATACCTCTTTACGCAGCCTAAAGTATCACGATGCAAGACTTCTTCAGTTAGTCAGATATTACGTGAACCCCCACAGAGCGAAACTAGCTTTGAGGGCGGAGGAAGACGTTCACATTGCACTCATCTCACATCCTAATTGACCACTACAACTGTGCCTAATGCACTCAATCAAATCGTAAACGACAGCAGTCACAATAAGCACATGATTTGACTATAGATAGAGAATATACTAGGCAATTTCAAAATGTATGTAACCCACAAAAACTTTCAAAAGTCAAAATGTCTTGGCAAACAAACCTATGCTTTTTCAAGTATTTTTATGTACATCTTTAGTAGGTGTTGTTAAAAATATGTTTACGACGACGTGTTCAGCTTGAAAACATATATTTATCAAAGAATTCAATTCCCTGACTTCCATTCCGCTCAAGATATACAGGACTGTGCGAAGGATGGGTTAACCATGGAAACGATTTATTACTGTCAATCGTTTCCCTGCTGAGGCTTTCATTAAACTCACTGACCATTAAGGCGTACTTTGAACATTGTATAATTGCAGCAAACGTTCACGAGATATGGATTTATAAAACAGTTCCGCTCTTGTCTCGGATTAAATCATGGTTAATAAGCTCTTTGATTTACAAACGCAATTCATCTTTGAAAATGACAGAATGTCAAAACTGTTTTTTGCGGACATCTCCTATCGGCTTCACGCTTAATGCATTCACTAATTTCACCGGTATTGGGAATTTCAATCAATGAAACTAGTTTCCGGGCTTTTCAAATTAAATTTCTTTTAGCTGCCAAGACAACTCAAAGATATTCTGCTGATTCTATTGAATTTTGCTGTCAATGTACATTTATACCAGCGGATCTGAGTCATATATATGCACAATGTTCCCCTCTAGAATATGGAATCCTTTACAGGGATATCCCAAGGCTTTTTGACATATGCCTATACAAACAGTTACTGTATAGCATGTTTAAAAAAAATGTGGCGTCGCGTTTTTATTCCTAAATTCTCATTGCCAGACCGAATTTTTCAAAACTGTGTTTTTAACCTTTCTAATATGAGGCAGTCAGATTGACGCCACTTAGAACAATAATTCAGCAATATCAAGCCTGTCAGCCTAATGTTGGAGAGAGGAACAACGGTTACGAGCTTGTATATATACAGCCGACTGTGGTGTCATTCTAAGGATCATGATCGTGGGATCGAACTCACGACCAGCGGCATCTTAGACCACTCGGCCAACTATGCATTAATCAATCTCGTTTAATGTCTGATGTGATTAGTGTTCTATTGAGTACAATAAAACAGTTATTTACTCTAGTCGAGGTTTCCGCTTTTATTTATATCTATGAGTGAGTGGATATGGTTTTCGCCAGAATCAGCAATATTACAGCTATATCGATGACGCCGGTCAATAAGTCTGGTCCAGTCAAGTAAATATCTTGCCGCACGAGCACCTGTTCAAGCCGTTGACACAGAAGCAGGCAGGTCACCCATTGTAACCATCCGACTCACGAGGCGGCAATGACAAGAATGGGTTAGTGGGTGCCAATTTTGCCCAGAGCGTTTAGAGAAAATAAGCAATAAACTGCCAACCACTTACCGAAAAAACACTTACCCTCCATACCTGTTTAGGCATAATCTATGAACTTATCTATGTGCATAAAATGCCTGCCATCTGTGTATTAAGTAAGCTATCTGAAGTATGCTTGTCTGTGTCACAGTGACACTGACAACTTGTATGAGAAGGGATCTTCGAGGGCTTCGTTGAAGCGAGAATAATGTAGGGACATGCGGGATCTGGAGTTACACGGTTCACAATGAATTCATGCAATGTCACGATTACTGCCCATGGTGTCGAGGTGGGAAGCGGAATAAGCCGAGTGTACCCGAGTGCGAAGTGAGCGTGCTCCTCTGGGCCTTTTGGTGAGTGATTGTGTGAGCTGTGTTTAACCCCGCTTTTAACATTATTCCAGTTATATCACGACGTGTCAGGTTAATGTGGGGGGAAAGCCGGAAGTGATGCAGGTCTCAGACGTTTACCACTTCGGTGAAACCCACAAGCATGGGTATGGTGCTGACAAACCTAGAAACATAATCGGGACGAACTGGGATTCGAGCCCACAATAATAGGTTTCTGGCGTGCCCAAGGGACGCAACTTTGCACAGCAAATCGCGGGGCCTTAGACGACTGGGCCACCCTTGGGGTAAACTAGAAAGTCTTTTAAGGCCACACATTTTAATTTTATGATTCACGGATTTATGTCGGTCGAAATTTAAGTAAATAGCTACGTCAATCATTTATTTATTTATATGAAAGTCATTCTGTCGTGCAATTAAAACTGCAGCTGGCTTCTTGAATCACTGATAATGATGTTAACATTTTATATTGTATAAGATAGTCTATATTACTAGCGGGAGACAATTGTTATGTTTAATTAATTTATTTTACAGCTACTTTTCAGTAGGGGCGTCGGACTCGTGAAACGAACCAAAAACCCTTTTTTAGCCTAAATGAGACATGGAAACTGAACAATGCAATATAGCTGGCCGTTCCTTAAACTTGAAAAACATTTTTTAGCCTAAATGAGACATGGAAAATGAAAACTTTTTTTTAGCCTAAATGAGACATAGAAACTGAACAATGCAATATAGCTGGCCGTTCCTTAAACTTGAAATCACCTCCAGTGTACCTGAATGTGGCGAGTTTCATGAATAACGACGAACTTGAATGTGTTGAAACAATTTATAACAGCGTCCAGCGCTCATGATATAGGAAGATTATTGAGCCGTTTTTTTAAATATTCCAGCACGGTTGAGTTCAGCATCAGATCACTGGCGTTCAGCGTGATTAATCAACATATACTTGTATTTTTTATCACTCACCAGTTAAAGACACCTGTTTGTACCACATACGGCTGTATTAGATGGTGCTTCTATCAAGCGGGGCAACACTGACACATGCTTTCATCACAAATTGTAGTACCAAATTTATTGGTTTGGGCAAAGTTATCGTAACCGATGTTAATTGATATTTATAAAAAAAACTTTTCAGCGAAGTTTGCACAATGTGAAATTTAAAGGAAAATGTGAAGAACATAAGAAATCAACATCAAATCTTATGTCATTACCATAACATATCTAATTAATACCACAAATCTTAATCAGAATTAGAATCTCAGCATAATTTCTACTGTATGTTGCAGTCGGATTATTTGAAATTTGCTGAAAAAGAGCTCGATTATAAACTTAATATCAAAGGAAGTTGAGGTTAATAAGCCACAAGTTACATAATATACCGGTTTTTAAAGTGTTTTCTTTTATTTGAAATGAATAAAAAAAATAAATTTAAAATCAAAATGAACTTTGCAATAATAACATCCAAATAAGAAGCCGAATCCACGTCAACATGAAGTTGTACATAGGTGCATAAAGGTGCTGAAAGCAGAAGTATGTTGTGCATGGTAATTACAAAATCGTTCCGGCAATTACAACACTGTTGTGGTAATAAATTCTGTATTTGTAATAACTTTGCATACAAAATACCTTCAGGCAACTAAAAGTGGTTTGACAATGACATTAAAATACATATAAACATGGTGAGGGTATTGAAACAGAAGGGAAAGATATCCTCACAAAAACAAGAAGAGAATAACATGCCATTTTCTGAAGAATGCCCCATCACATTCTAATGTAATACCATCAGCTAGTCATTCGAGTGGGTGAGTCCTGAGGAGTGTGCTGCTGTAAACTAAGTCTACTTTGCACCCAGGCGGATGATCTACCCCGACAGACCCTTCCGATTGTCACGAAACACCAGAGACACACCGACCCACCATGGACGCAACCCAAAACACGCGCAGTACTTAGGCGTAGCATTTGATCTAGATCGCCGGACTCACGAACAAATACGGTTGAAAAGAGAGAGTGTACTGGCTCTCACTGATGTATTGCAGTAATGTAAGAATCGTGACATTATAAAGGCTCGGGGCATCACTAATAAACAAAACATTCCGTCGAAACATTCACATTACCAGAACATTCATCGCCGTGTCTTCTTACGACCTTGACCTTCGTGTTGCAGATTAGAGTAGCCTCCCTTGGCCCAAGTGGACACAAGCTCCTCACAGCGATAGCCCGTTCGCGGAGCTCTCTATACTATCGCTGCCACCAGTCAAAACTCCCCACTGTGAAAGGTGGCCCCAACCATGCTTGGAGTTGAACTCGCAACCGAATGACCGTTATGTTTACAAACAAGTGACGACTGTCGTGACGCCGAATACACTTATCGCTGCTAAATTACTTTCTTCGTTTGTCAATTTGAATTTCTGTTTCATTTAAACTATCGTGTTATTGATATAGTAAGAATGTAAGGGAGAAGTTGGTTGATTTTCCGTTAGTCTGGAATCTCGAACCAATCTGATTATCAAAACAACAAAATAAATTCATCTGGAAAACATGGTCAGTCGTAAAACTTTTCAAATTGAATTATGATGGCATTCCCAAAGACATAAACAAAAGTATAAACGTAACTACATATATGGGGTTGGAGGGCAAATTTCAAGATTCTTGTAATGGCCGCGCCCACACTGGTGGCAGCGATGTTACCGAGAGTGTAACGAAGGTGTCACGCGCTGGGCAGGAGCTTGAAGGGGACAGTCGTTAGAAATATACCTCATCGCGTCAGTCCAAGCAGTTCCGTGTCGTGAATGATTGGTGCTACTCACTCGAGGTTGATTGGCGGTTATTGCAATCAATTTCATAACACATATACCTACTGCTGGCTGGTATGGAATCATATAGCCAACATGACACGAGTCAATAGTTGGGCAAAACAATCTTATTAATTTTCAAAGGATCGACAATATGATGAGCAGTGGAATGTGTTTTCTATTATATTCAGATGGACATACGGTAGCATGTGAGGTTGATTGGAATATGCATGCGGATAGGCCTGTATATTAACACCACGTATACGGTATGTGCACGCCGTGGGAGGCCCGGGTTAAAATAGTTTAATACCAAAGCGCGTGCTGATGTACTGCGGGAACAAGTTTCACTTACATCCATGGCTGGGCCTTAATACGACATTGCGTGTAGAGATGATCGATCACTGAGAGGAGTTTATGCACACTCGATGACCCCAGCATCCCTGTTGCTAGGCCGACGTCACATGGCATTGTTTCGCAGGTAGATATCTTAGCAACAAGATTTCACAAACGGGTAATTAAGGTCAGAAAATACACTGCAGATACCACGCCAATGGAACTTTCTGGACCCAAATGGGTGATAATTGAAGCCAAGAAGTACCCAAGTCTAAAAGTCTATAATGTCTTTTATGGTGTGGTACAGAATGTGTTTTTAAGCAATTTCAGAAAAATGTCATTTTGCAATGCAATAATATTATAACATGCAAAGTTGTATGCTTGGGATTGCTTGAATTATATTTGCATCAATCTAAAACTCTTAACTCAAAATTTTAACAGACATGTTCAATATGTATTCTACCATGAATTTGGAATTTACTCGATTCTGATTGGTCTATCAGAGGCTATTTAATCACAATAAACCACCTCTGATTGAAACAGCTGGTTTGACGGCCGCATCCCGGCGGAAGCTAATATTTTGTGTTGCCGTGCTTATATGCTTTCAATGCCTGTCATATGTTCGAGTGAAGTATTAGGATGTAAACAAACTGCTTGAGTATATACAGCACCATATTTTGTTCGGTGATTCCGTAATTCAGATCGATAACCCACTCAAAACACTGGACTCAACTCATGCCGCTTCACTCTGTATATTTGCTAACACCAAAGAGTTCGCGTTTTATTTAGTCAGGGCAGAATGGAGATAAACAAAACATAACAAACATAACATTTGAAACCTCACGCTGCGCGTCGGGTTCCAAATTCAATTTAGCTCTACATTGAACACACAGTATGTTTATCTCCTAATTCAGAAGTTGTTAAAGCATCATTGTTATGATTTTCGGACACACAAGATTAAACTGAAGGTCAAAGTGATGTCAAGTTGAAAATACCAACTTCAATAACATAAAATGCAACTATCTGTTGCATAATGAATATTGATATTTGATAAGATCACACAATTAGACTGTCAAAAGCTAGCTTTATCACATCAGTGTCAGAAACTTAATTCCTGATAATTGTAGCAATCAGCAAGTTGAGGACGAGGTTGAAGCGAGTGATGATGATGGTTGAGATGATGAGTAATCAACGCTGTCCTATAGTGTGACCACTCTAGTGGTTTAGGTTTCGCTCGTCACTGTCAAAGACCCGGGTTCGATTCCCGACATGGGTACAATGTGTGAGGCCCATTTCTGGTGTCCCCCGCCGTGTATATTGTTGGAATATTGCTAAAAGCGGCGTAAAACCATACTCACTTACTCTCTACTTGGGCATGAGGATCCCTTAAACATTAGGGGATTAAACTATGGTCTGCTTCCTCGTAGGTTCACATTAGACTTCTAACACAGAAACAGAATCGGTAAATTGCATATATTGTAAGTATGCTTTCTTTCCTAAATTGTAGCTCAGTTATTGCGTCAATAAGGAACCATATATCCATCATTATAGTACATTATAAACATGGTACACTGATACATATCATTCCCGTGAAGATCCGGGGTAGAATAGGTCTTCAGCAGCCCATGCTTGCCGTAAAAAGCGATTATGCTTGTCGTAAGAGGCGACTAACGGGATCCGTTGGTCAGACTCAGGCTTGCGTGGATCGATGCTCATGATGTTAATCACTAGATTGTCTCGTCCAGACTCGATTATTTACAGACTGTCGTTATATAGCTGGAGTATTGTTGAGTGCGGCGTTAAAAAACAAACAACATATCATTCATTAAAGTGTTTCAGTATGTCTTATTGAATGGTATATTCATTATAACATAAATGTATGTTCAAAATTATCATGGTCACCCACCAGGTCCTGAGCGTCATCACCATACTGTTCAGGTGAGGTGAGGGGAAATTGGGTTTAACGTCGCGTCCAAGATTATTGCACTTATATAGCGACGTGCATGCACGTGTGTGTGTGTGGCTGCTTGTACTAGTCCGGACTGATGCCGATTTATAGTGCTAGCTCACTGAGATACCATGCCGCAGTTCAACATGAATACCCCACTCAGACACAGTATACTGACTCCGAGCCGACCAGTCCTTGTTTTAGCCCCTTAATGCCGAGCGCCAGACAGGGTAACAACAAGTACCATCTTTTAACGTCTTTTGGTATGACGCGGCCGGGGATCGAACCCCGGACATTCCGCTCTCCGGGCGGACGCTCTACCACAAGACCACGGAGGCGGCATTCCATACTGTTCAGGGGAAGAAGTGTTACCGAGGACGTTGGCTTTAAGCACAGCAAGGTGATTGTCAAGGGCTCTGTACTTCCTCTTTCTGGAGTTGGAAAATGGTTACTTCCGTGGTTGATTATTCTTTCTTGATAATGTCCATAAAGGTATTCTTGCTGAATAAGTGGCTACTTTTGAGTGACACCCTACGACGAGGTTGTGGTTCTTGGACTCTCTGTATTGAAGTGGTTCCACATCAGGCTCACCACTTTCATCCCACTGGTCTGACATGTAGTCTGCAAGGCGTACAACACTGGGGATCTCTAGATCTACCTGCTCCAAGGAATAGCACCAGAAGTCCTCACTATCACAACAGGGGATGAGCGCAGGCACGCGCCTCGTAGACCATGGTCCTTCACGTTTCCAAACGGTTGTCGGAAATGGAAAATGGAAAATTTCATCTGAAACTCGAAAACGGTACGGGCTGTAAAATCAGTGAAGATGGTTGTTGGCTGTAGATTGATGATGTGGGCAGCGGCACTCTGCTTCAGGGCACAGTAGAATTCTACACAGGTATACTTTTCTTATCTGACAATAGGGCATAGATAAGGGCAAACCCCTCTGCAAAAGAGTGGACTGTATATATCTGGTTGAATAGTGTTGAGCACATATTAAAGTTCCATCCCAAAAGTAGACGTCTGTGGCAGCAAGGTGGGAAGCTTTTCTACGGTGGTATTTAAATGTGTTGCGCCACTGTGAATTAATTACTAATCACGTCCATACGTCTCATTTATAAGCTTGAGATCAATGACGTCACACAATATTTTATTAAGACTTTTCAGTTCTTTAATTCCACCTACTTTAATACGAGTTCAGTGACGGATTATATATCAGACAGATAGCAAGATATGTAGACACAGCATCAGTCAAGTGCCTAGTCCGTGCATTTGTAACATCAAGACTTGACTATTGTAATAGTCTTCTGTATGGTATCCAGCAGCAGCATCTGGATAGACTACAGCGTGTGCAAAACACTGCTTCCAGACTAATCACACGGAAGTCAATGCGAGAACACATTAAACCCGTCCTGAAAGAGCTGCACTGGCTATCTGTGAGACTCGAGCTCAGGATCGTGTTCAAGCTGATCATGTTTGTCTACAAATCGATCCATGGGTTATCCCCAGTGTACCTCCAGGAACTCACTGCCCTTTACCAACCTGGACGAACACTGAGATCTGCACACCAACTACAGCTTGCTGTTCCACCAACCAGCAGAACAACATATGGCGACAGAACCTTCCGAAAAGCAGGTGCAACTCTATGGAATGCACTGCCCATTGATGTCAGGGGATCTGAAGATGTCAACACCTTCAGATCAAAACTTAAGACCATCCTCTTCAAAAGAGCATACGACTGAGCGCTCTTGAGCAAGGAGTATATCTGGATAAGGAGCGCTATATAAATGCTTAATTTAAGAATAAATTAATATCAATATGTGCAAACACAGTTATTAAGTCACGAGGATGACTAAAATTGAGTACTACTCACTAATACGGACTATCACCGGCAAATCATCACATTAGACGCCCGGCAAAGCGGGGCCACACCGGCCAGACCTGCATGTTTTGGACTATAACACTGTTAATTGAACGTTACATTAGTTTAGACGCTTGTAGAAAGTGGTACTGCTATTAATTTTTAATCAGGTGCATGATGGCTCTGTTTTGCCTAGCACGGCATGACCTAGATAGCCCTTTCAGATCGTTACAAACGGCGACATGCTTTA